ATCCTTTATTATGATTGAATTGTCGATCCGTCAATTTCCCCATTCCTATGCATATCTTTCAGCATGGCACTTAAGATTCCATTGATCTTCATAGTGGGGTCATTGTTTAGTATACGATATGTAGTCCTGTCTCGTAGAATGTAACATCTCGGTATATTGTTTTTTGTCCATTGTCACTGTAGCTCCTCCTTTGTATGCCTGAAGGACTAATTATTCATTCGTTTCTAGAGTTTTGCGTATCATGGCAAATCTGTTCCTGGGTATAGGCTCCTGATGTGACAGGATCTTTGGAATTAGTTCAATCTCCATTTCCCATTTTGTCTCAGGGAACTTTGAAAAGTTCGTAGCTTGGTGCGGAGAATGGCAAAACTCACTGATGATGCCGACTACTATGCTGGCGAAACGTTTGAGAATATATCAAGTCCACTATCTGATTCTTGGAACCATGACGACTACTATTGCAGACGACTTCGGACTAGGTGCGTTTTACTAAGTCTCCCTGACAAGAAGAACAAGTTGCAACAGCGAGGTCAACCCACTTCTATAAATAAAAATGAGACTGCGACCATACCAGAGGTCACAACCTTTTGGTCTTCATATCTTCAATTAGTTTCTTTTATTTATTGCAGGAGAGTGTTTGGGCTGTCAATGCTAAGTTGAGTTTATCGGCACCTTGAGGCCTTTCATTCATTTAATTGTTAGACTGTCAGGCGATTTCAGACAACTCGTTCTTATTCATAATCTACGTATAGATTCAGAACCAACTTTTAGCACTAGATAATTAGACATAAATATCTGTAAATATTATCCGATCTTCGGCGAACTTCCCAGTAAATTATTTGCAAGAAAAGCTTATCTGATAAATCAGAACCTACATTGAGTGTAATATTATGTAATTCTTTTTTTATAAAAACTCTTAAATATCGTGAATAAATTGCTTATCGGTTTTATTTCAGATACTTAATGGTTATCTTTTTTATCTTTTTGCTCAATAGTAATGGATTTCTGTGCATTAAATTATATACTTTATCCATATTCAGGAAAGAATGCGACTTTTGGTGGCTGATGGAAAAACTATCAGCTCAGAGGTTATATCGCTAAATGTTAAAGGACCAGGTCTTCAAAGGATGGTTTTGATTGATCTCCCTGGCATTATCTCTACTGTGACTACCGGAATGGATACCAGTGCAAAAGATGTAATTCGCCAGTTGGCTAGGCACTATTTAGAAAATCCCAATTCCATCATTCTTTGTATCCAAGGTTAGATTTTAAGGACTGCAATTTTATATAGGCTATTGCTTTTTTACAAGTAATTTTCTTGCTCAATTTTTTGATTATCTGTCTTTTCGATTGCACTTTTTAAAGTTAATAACGAACACTGTGACATCCTCTATTGGTCATACAGCAGTAGCATCCAACTGATAATATTACCACAAATCCATAACGCCACTAAATATACCATCCCTGCGCTTTATTTAACCAAAAAAGATTACTCGCTACCAATTGTTAACATTTGTCTGCAAGCTTTTTTATTTCCAATCTGCTTATATTGACTTGTATAAGTGTTCGTATTAAATTATTTATTTCCTGCTACTTTATTTTATCCTATCGGGAAAAATACTCTATATTATCGTTTTTTCTTCGCCCAGATGGCAGTATTGATGCTGAGCGCAGCAATGTGACAGATCTTGTTTCTTCAATCGACCCTCAGGGTGAACGGACAATTTTCGTCCTTACTAAGGTGGACAAGGCTGAGGAAAATTTGCACAATCCAGGGCGCATCAAACAGGTTCTTGAGGGAAAACTCTTTCCAATGAAAGCCCTTGGTTACTATGCCGTTGTTGCCGGCTCAGGGAGTCATGATGAAAGCATTGAGCAAATAAGAGAATATGAGGCAAAGTTCTTCCGAAATTCTCGACTTTTCTTGGAGAGTACTCTTTCTTTCTCACAAATGACAACCGAAAATCTCAGCAAGGCTGTATCAGAACGATTTTGGAAGATGGTGAAGAACTCCGTCGAACATCAGATGGATATCTACCGGGGTTAATCATTATTATTTATATGAGGAATCAAAATAGGATAGTTTTGTATCTTGTTCTTTTTTCTCTAAATAGTTTTCTGTTAATCATCTAGGGTTTCTAATTTTGTTTTCATCATAGTTTCCAAGTTGAGCCTATTGTATGAAGCTACTTTCTTCATCGTCTCCCATCCATAGCTCTGCGCTTGAACTTAGAAACAGAATGGAAGAACTCTTTCCCACATCTACGTCAGATGGACCGTGAAGAATTATTTGAGAAGGCCCGCAGCGAGATCTTGGACGGGTTGGTCAATTTATCCGGGATCAGTGCTGAGGCTTGGGATAGCAAGCTATCTTCTAATCTCTGGACTCACTTAAAGGGCAATGTTTTCAGGAATATTTTTGAGCCGGCACAGATGCTTGAACGCGTAGACGATTACAAAACTCTAATTGATATCAAATTGAGGGAGTGGGCCGAACGTGATTTGCCTCAGACAAGTGTGCTGGCTGGTTTGGAGACGCTTTACCAGCAGTTGGACGAGACCCATGCTGCATTCACTCATAGTCCTGGTTACGATCCTCTATTCGACCAACTAAGGACGAATGTTCATAGGCTTACCAAAAATCGGCACAAATTGGAGGAGAAGGCTATTGACAGGCTCGTGAGTTGAATATGGAGTAAAGTATGAAATAGGCCCAAAAAAACTCTTATCCAAAGAGCCAAATTACCTTATATTTATTTCTGTTAGCAAAGGTATCTGCCTCAACTTAAGGCGGATTATAGTATGATTGAGGAAACAAGCGGACATTTTTTAATTTTTTAGACCTCCGTTATTCACGTCGGATAGCTTGAGAGGATTGGATTTATCAAAGTTAATCAGTGTTTCTTTGTATTTCCATACAAATTAAATCCTAGGTCATCTCGATAGGCTTCCAACAGTTATATTAGGCGAATAGAAATATCCTTTTTATTTAGACAAAGTTATATTTACTCATTTTATATATTTTACTATATTCTCATATCGTGCAGGTCATCTACTGATATACAGACATAAATCCATAGATTTTGCCTTTTCATCTTTAAATTAAGCTTATATGCCCTTTTCGATCTCGATTTTATGAACTTGGATTTATTTTACAATCTAGAGGGCAACCTATCTATTAACGAATACGCATGTACTTCGCCTGGCTCCTGTTAAACTTGCTCATTACTCCTAGATAGGAAGTAGGTTACATTCAAATTTCATGGGACAACTGGCAGTATTATCTTCATCTTATAGTCTTTCCAGTCTGGGTGGTCTTCTTTCAGCTTCATCATCTGAGATTTATTGTTTGCTTAAAAATAATCCCAGAAAGCTATCAAAATTATCAAGACCTTAACTTTTTCGATCGTAGATTTTAAAATATATAATATATGGTCACAGTTTCCTGTAGCTGTATAGTGTTTATTTGACCTCGTTTTCACAACTTGGTCGGGGTAAAAGGGAGATTTTGTTGGATTTACCTGCGTATTCTGCTGCATAAGTCACAATTTCCAGTCTGGACATAAGGCTTATGAAAACTGGGACTGCGGGCGTGAGGATCCATTTTCTGACGGCTGTCATTGCCAAAGGTATCGCACACGTTCTATCGTACTTTCTGGGCCATATCAAACTTTCGAAAAATAAATCTAGCTCCTGTTTAGATAATCATATAGACAGTCGGTGAGATAAGACAATAAATCTGGGAACAAGTGATAAGTGGGGGTGGGGTATTGCTAATTGGGAGATGCCTGACTTGGTATGCTATCTTCCCTCAGCCCCACCGAAAACAAGGTTGAGGCAACCTTTTTTTTATTGTCCGTACTTATTTAAAGTAACTTACTCAATTCCTGTGCAGCATTTTTCGTGTCTTTGATAATGTTTCCTTTTATTTTTTTACCTCTACGATAGCGTGTGGTTCAGACTATGGCCTTAGAAGACAGGACAGTGCACTCTAAAGCAGAATGGGACGCCGCTGTTTCTTTTATGGAACAAGCTATCGAAGAAGCCCTCAAAGACGGTTTGTCTGTCTGACGTGGCATATTTTTACAAGCAAATTCTTTCTTTTTATTCCCACGTTATTTTTCTTAGCATTTTTTAAGGCGATTCTCTACCCTTCAGAATTATGATTTATAGGCAGCTAAGGCGGAGCTTTTTATACATGTTTTTGCATTATTTTACTATATACTTAATTTGCTGACCTTAACGTCTTTACGTTGCTATCTCTACTCTTGTTTAATACCCTGATTATTTGGCTTTTTGATAGCTTATTCGTGTAGTCAGGGCAAATTTGAGGAATATTCTACTGAAAGTATTTGGCGACTTAAAAAAGTGACTCGGTTCGAAACAGGTCAAGATTGAACAGTGTAGTCGAGTAAAACTTACCTGGTAAAATATGTATATATACAAAAAAGATGCCAATATGGGATGTTGCTGAGGAACAACGCGAAGACGTGACGTTGATTTGAGATACCAAGAGAAAAGACAAAGCGTACGTAGTAGTGGCACACGTTAGAGGTGGTGCGCGAAGAAAGACTTATGTGAGGAAGGCTGACTACGTTAAGGACATGGTGCTGTAACTGGAGCTACTTCGTTCTTGGCTAGCCTGACCTTGTGATCTATTAAAGCTTCGTTGAGGCAAGACTCTAATGCATACGGGTAATCGGCGAAACGCGAAATAATTGGCCATTGATAATAACATTCAGCTATGATTTCTTCCTACTTTCTGCAATACGTAAATGAGTGTAAATGAATGCTCCTGATTGGCATCGGACTGTGTGCTTGGCTTGGTTTCAGTAATCACAGTCTGGTAGGCTCGCTAATATGTTTGCTACCGCTGGCAAGAATGACTGCAGTTGGGTGGATAAGTATGGGAGTTGCTTATGTTGGAAAATAATCGCGACTTCTATGTAAAGAAACTAACTGTTGCGGTAGGAAAGACTAGCGATGGAAAAGGCGGATGTAAAGGCTTCTTAAATCTGCCCTAATGGCCTCTTTAAACAAACTTATGAATGTGGCTACATAAGTTATAAAGAAATTCGTCTAAACCCAGCTTTCCTCATATTATTTGGCTTGATATATTCTCTATTTCAAGCTATATATTTTTGCATAGATCAGCTTTAATATACCTGAGTCGGTATAACGCCTTAAACACTTTCCTAAGAAATATTTTGACGCCTTAACAGGACATGAGCTGTTTTCTTAAGGTGCCTCGGGCCAATGTTCTTATGAGATTTATCTCTACTATATCTTGTAGTTTTTTCAACTGGTTCATGCTCTATCAAGCTATCCAATAAATTACTTTCACACATTTCCATCGAGCAATTTGGTTTCCTCAAGTTGATTTCCAAAATCCTTTGTCTTGATTTAGCCTTTGAAGCTGCCCAATCTAACTCTCGACGAGTATAGTATTTTGGACGAAAGCGCTAAGTTTTCCAACCACGATGTTATTGATAAAAATAGATCTACCAGAGCCTCTGAGGATAATTAAATCTCGAACTATCCCCGTGGGCCTACTAGACACTGATACGAAAGCTTTTTATTTTTTATGGGTTCTGTGATGTTATGATAGCACGATTTTTTCTGATTGCCTTGGAAAAACAGGACAATAAATTAGATTCTGAGATTTTCGTCGATTTGCTTATAGCAATTGCTTTTAATGAATGGAAATCATTTTTGCTTGAACTTTGATATTTTGAAATTGGAAGCTTTTATTATTCATAATTTGGAATGAGACTTAGAGATCACTTAGGCAACATTTGTCCAAAACTCTTTATTAGCTTCGTGCCCAGCGAACCTTAGGAATATTTTAAAAGCCCATAAACCCTCTCCTTTCTAGTAAAGAAGTTTTTAGCTATAAGGTTATACCGACCATAATTATTCACTCAGGATGCAAGTACTTTCAATTTCCCTATGCTGTAATATAGCATTGTAGACGTTTTATGTCACTATTTATATCTCCATTCTATGAGCATTGAGACCACAACTTCTTGGTCTTTATATCTACGCATAATTAGTTTTTATTCTAATAAAATCAAGGTGTCTAAATAAGCTCCCGAGAATCTCCCAAAATGAAGTTGCCAAATTCCTTCAGGTTTCTCCATGTGCCAACTCCACTGAAGCCATCAGGATAGGAATAAGTCAGATTAAATTATCTTTGATGCATGCTTTTTTCCTTGTTTAACTTGCGCCTGGGACCTTTTAATCTTGCTGCTTTGATTCGATTTTTGTTTTTCCAGTTCTTTATTCAATTTCATTATATTCTCATATCATTCTGAGTGGTGTATTTTCTATTTTGCTTTGAGGTTTTCTTTAATTTATAAAATCTTTCGTATATATGAAGACCAAGATGTTGTGGGCTTCTATTTAGTCACAGCTTCGGCGAGACCTTGTGGAACGTACCTAGTCCTGTGTCCTCTGCCACAGTATTCATGATTTCCAGCTTCTGACCACGGACTTGGTACATTCCCAAACGTTTCATCAGCATCGTCAATGAGAGGCACCATTGTTGGCACAGAGTTACAACTTATCATTGACAAGTGAAGGCTATCCCCTAACTAATTTTCTCTTCAATGGCTGTCGCATCACTACTCGACCCTATTCTTTGTTCTACCTTCTAGTGCTGCATCTCTTTTTCTCAGCATTAGAAGAGTGAACAAAAAATATGGGCACAGAGTGATGCCATAGCGGTTGGACAATAAATTGGCCAATGAGATTGTCTTCATTTGTCACTGATGAGCTGTAACTCTTGGCTAACGATGGCGTCTTCTACTGACGATGCCGGTGAAACGTTTGGGAATGTACCAAGTCACTGGTCCGAAGCTCGAAATCACGAAGGTCTCCCTGACGCTGCGACCAAGTTGCCAAAACAAGGTCGAACCAACATTATAAAACGATTGATTATTTTAAGATTCTTAATAAAGCCACCTACATTTTTATACGAGTGGGTATGCCCTAAATATTCTTTTTGCTTGTAACTCTGTTAAATATTTATTTTCGCACATTTATCTATCAAGAAGCACTATATACCGTTATACCATTTGGCTATTAATCCTTTCTTGTCTTATCTATCAATAATTAATCTTGTTCATGGCAGGGTCGCATGCAGGCTATAGATTCTTATATTTCGAACCTAAATATCATTTCTAGGTTGACTTGCCCACTTGGTTTGCAAGACTCTTCTTTCACATATTAGATAGACAACCACTTATCTTATTTTTCTTATGGACATACAAAGTCACTTATTTATTATAGGTCTAAACCTTATCTAGTATCATCTAGAAGCAATGAAAAAAAAGTTCTGAAATTACTAAAAGGGGATATTATTTGATCTCATAGAAATAATTACCTATTTAGGTGCTTAATTTCGAATGAGCGATTTAAGTCAATGCATCCTTATTTTTTTAAATAAGT